TAGCTCTTTTCCTATGTACAAAAAATTAATATTTATTTAAAATTATATATCTGTTAACAGTATATAATTAAGCACATATATATGCATATATAAGCACATATATAATAAATAAGCATATATATATTTAAAGCATATATATGTATTATATATATATATATATATATATAAAACTTAGAATGTATGGATTATAGATAGGATGCATTATTATATTATATAATCTACTATACACTACTTGCTTATTTTCCACAATAGTAGAAAATGTCAGTAAGGTCCTTTTCAAGGCTGAAATAGACTTCATTACTCCATTGAAGATCTATTACATTTCCTCTCACCTTCCCACTCCTAAAACACAGTGAAAATTTAGGACATGAATGTGGGACAAAGTACAAGAGCTGGAATTGCCTCCTTTCCCCTAAGTCACATGAAAATTGTGATGGAAACCACCTTCTTAACAATTGTTCTATTCGATAACATTCTCAGCCCTTAATATGTTTGGCAACATCATCAGTCTCAAATATTATCATTACAATATTGGAATCTCTTTAATTTCTAACTCCTTGATCCCCTGTGAATTTAAGCAAATTGCCATGTATTTACCAGACATTGGGTTTTCTTCTGTGAATTTCCTTTATATGCCCTTTGCTCCTTTCCTTCCTCCCTGTGGAACTGTTTTCCTCTTATTTCAAGGATCTCTATGGATATGAAGGATATTAACATATATGTGAGTCAAACCTTTTCTCCCAAGTACCTCTAAAAGGCACTGATGCTTGTAGTTTCCCCTCGCTCCTATTTGCCCCTCCCTTTATTGTCTTCTTTCCATTTGACCTTTTGGCTAGTCTGTTTCCTGCTTTATTTGTTTCACTACTAAACTGGAAGCGAGTAAGGAATATGGAATTAAATATTTGAACAGGGCTTATGACAACTTTAGCTGTTAGAAAAGATATGAAAATACCTCACTTAGTGTGTATGGAGGATTTTGTGTGTGTTTCCTGTTTATTACAATTTTTCATGGAGTGACTTTTCCCTCAGAACCATGAATAATGACTGAATACATATCCCAGCAAAGACAGAGAGCTGGCTGACACACTGGCTGATGAAATGTAAAAAATGCAGCTTGTGGTTCAGATGCCCTGGTGATCATGTATTTTAGTAGTCAAATGTACGATCCGTTACCAAATATTTGAAAATATTTATAGGATTCTCCAAGGTAGAATGTTTTCTTCAAGAAGATGCTGTGCTAATCTATTTGTTTTTCATATTATAAAAACAAACAAAAAGCATAAAGAATATTCATTAATTCACAGGGAAAGGATTGGCACTGAAAGATAGGTCAAAGTAATATTATCTTGGGGACAGAAGAACAGTCTGGAAATGTCAGACCTTGCAGGAGGCGTCTGGGTTACTAGCTTTGCAGGTGTATGGAGCAGGAAGAAACAAACGCTTAATGATACTTTTCAAAACAATACATTTCTATGTTCCTATGTTAATTCCCCCATCTTTCCCAAATAATAATCCTGACACGTCTTGCTCCTCCTGACCTGTGTTTCCTTAATGTTTCTATTTTATTCTGATCAAATGAAGAGTCGCTACTTGGTGCTAAGGTAACTTTAATTTAATGAACTATATTTTATGGCATGGCTATATTCATTGATAACCATTGAAAAGCTTGCTTGAGGTAATCATTAAGACCAGAAAATTGAAATTTTCCTCCCTAACCCAAATAGCCTATGAGAAAAATGTTACAAGTATATGGAGCTAAATTTATTCATAAAAATTACATTATGGAGAATAAAGATGGGCTATCATTGCTTATTTAAGGAACATATTACTTTGTACTTTATAATAACTTAAAAAATACTTGCATCTAAAAATAATTGTTACATTTTCATTGGCAACTACTGTTTTCTGGAAAACCATACATGTCCATGGACTTCTTTGCTTTTTTGTTCTTAAATAATCTGAGAAAAAACATTTTTATATTAGCTGAATATTGAGTTTTTTAAAAAATATTTTTATTGATTTTGTACAGAGAGGAAGGGAGAGAGATAGAGAGTTAGAAACATCGATGAGAGAGGGTCATCGATCAGCTGCCTCTTGCATACCCCCTACTGGGGATATGCCCGCAACCAAGGTACATGCCCTTGACCGGATTCAAACCCGGGACCCTTCAGTCCCCAAGCCGACGCTCTATCCATTGAGCCAAACCGGTCCCGGCTGAATATTGAGTTTTAATATTAGGTGTGATAGATTCTATTGCTTTAAATTTTCATTTTATATGTTTAATGCCTCTTGCTCTTGGCAAATTACAATTCAGGGAAGCAGAAAAATCTAGTATGCAAAATCTAGTACTTGGCAACCAAGATAAGCAGCATTTATGCAAACTGAAAATTTTCAATATTTATGAAGAATTTTAAAACGTATAAAATTTGATTGGGCTATTTACAAATTAAGATCTAGTGCCTCTACATTTTTTCCATAGGGTTGATTCTTATCTTGTTTTTAAATCTAAGAAAATAGTAGTATTCTTTAAAAATAGCCTATATTATGATGAACAAACCAGTCTTGTCAGATAGAATGAGATAGGATAATCATGTATCAGAAATTTAGGAAATTGTTCTAGACCCATTTTTGTCACAGTGAACATCTGTTTCCCTTCACCTTTTCTTTCCATGGGCGATCTGTTTCTGTTTTCTGGGTTTGGCTTCCAATGAGGGCAAGCAAGACGAGGCTCAGTCTGTTGCCTCATAAAACACTGGTAACCTGGTGGACAGAAGCATTCTCTAACAGTCCTTAGTATGCTCCTCTTAGCAATGTTTATATTGTACTTTTGGACACAAGTGACTAATTCCTGGAATTTAATAATTAAAAAAGATAATTTCATAACGCTATAGTACAACAAGAGTTAGTATTTCTGCTAACTCTAATGTAGGCTCATTTCCCGTATTTAAAAAGGAAAAACATTTACTTGGGAATGGTAAGAGAAAACAGAGCGGTTGTCTTGTAGTGCTTCATGAATTAACATTTGGAAAACATTACTGGTGTTTCTTGTTCTATCAACATATGCTCTTCAGAAATACCAATGGATTACTAATTGGACTAATTGAAAAATTCAAGTCCGTTCATTGTTTTTGTACATAGAAGGTTTCATTTCAAGACAAATTTCTACTCTGGCAAGCAATAGATTTAAATAGGATAATCTTGGTGACAGATTACTTATGACTAGCTTGTAGTGGCTGATTTAACATTTGACATGGAAAGTAACCCTGGATATATTATAGGCTTTCGTGTGGCATAACAGGGAGATGTGGCAGATGCATGTGTAAAAATTCTATTTTAAATGCATGGTCTTGTATGCTTTAATTCTGTGAGTATTCTGAGTATGTCCAGACAAGAGATTTTAATTGGAAGCATAATTTCATTTACCCTAAATGTAAAAAAAAGCCAACCAGGGCCACTTAGGGAAGAGAGAATCCTCAAGGACCTATTTAGACAGTTGCTTCCAGAGAGAGAGAAAAAAAAGTGTTCAGTCAGACTTGTCAATCCTAATTGTAAAGATTGATTGGGGAGCTGATTTTTTCTTCCTTCTGTCCTTGGAGAAAATGAAAAATAACAGGTCCTCTTCCACTTTACACTAACCATCCATATACTTTATGACAGTTAGGTTTCCCTTGAGCCTTCTCTTCTCCAGGACAAATTATGCTAACTCCTTCAGTCTGTCCTCATAGGTCCTATTTTTCACCCATTAAATCATTGTAAGGTTCTCCCTGTACCTTTTCCAGTTTCTTCAAAATTTCTTTAAAAATACCAAGTCTTAAATTTTACATCTTTGCCTAATATTAGATAGATTAGAATGCCAGGGGAATATTTCTTTCCACATTCTACGTCGAAGAGATAGTTACTATGACACAGGTCAGTTGGGTGTTATGGAAAAGAAGAAAAAGAGAAGCCAGGTGAGCAGTTTAATATTCAACTCATTGGGTTTATATGGGCCTGATAATATGTCATAGGATTCTTCGTAAGCCCTTTGGAATGATACTATAAAATCAATCAGGCTGCTTTTGAGTTTTCTTTAACTAAATTAACCAGATACTCCTCTTTACTACTAATAATTCTGCAAAGTAAAACATTAGTATGGGAACTAACATTATGCCAAATTCAGGACCCCAAAAATGTGTAGTAGAGGACGATGAGTCCTGCTAACTCAAGAGAGGGCATCGGGATTCCACGTTAGAGTGACCTCACCTTAATTAAGAGCTAGAACCACTTTTTTCCAAGCAGATATTAATGCCTGGAGGGGACATTTGTGGAGTGTTACCCAGCAAAGCTTTATTATTGGGTAGTACATGACTAGTAAGCAGAGCATGATATTCACTTAGCTGACATGCTGTTCTGGGTTTATGGCCTGGCCTTTTCTTCTCTGCAGCATCACCTTGACCTTGGGTAATGCTGTAGTAATTTCTACATTTCCATTGCATGGAGGCCAAAAAGACCTCATAAACCAAATTCCCCTCTATAACAATTACTATGAGAGCAAGATTCCATGGTAATAAAATCCTAGAATAAAAACCCTAAAGTTTCTAGTGTTTTCTTACTTCAACTTAAGTGCATTAATAATTGAATTCTGTATTTATTTAATAATGTTAAACCTAAAGTCTTATCTATACCAAACACAAAATACCTGGCATTTGTCTTCTCTACTCTGGGTTATTCACTATGAAATAGGTAAACTGTTTTAAAACCCCCACAAGAGAGAAATTCAGTCACTACGAAAAGACGGTACTTATCCTTTCCAGCATCCTCCTTATCAATCAACAATAAGTAATAGGCATCACAACAAAGTTGGCTTGTAAAAACTTTGGTTCCCCCAATTGAATGCCAGGCCCATGTTGAAAAAGCCACAGGCCGATCTTAGAGGGCTCTTACACCGAATGGTGTGCAGAGGTGAAATATCTGTATTTGGCACTAACCCCTCTGTGAAAGCTAATGCAGCATGGTCTTACCATTTTTGCAGACAGGACAACACTGTTCTGGTTCATAGACTGGGTTGACACACTCAGGAACCGCGCAGTCTGCTACAACACAGTGAACTTCATTGCTGGGCTCACAGCGACACCATTCACACGGAGAGGGCTAGGAACAAATCTAAAATTAGCCCCTTTTCTCCTATAACTTAATGCTTGCACATTCATATGCTGTCAGAAGACAAAAACATCAGCGTTTATATCGGCTTTTCTGTATTAACTCCATTACCATGTACATGGTCATTCTTCCCCAATGGAAAGCAACCTGGACTTCCAAGTTATGGTAGGTTGTCATGCGCATCCCAGGTTGCCAGGAGCAGCTGGGCATTCCTGTATGACTTTCCTGCCTATGATCCTACTTTCCAAAGACCATTTTGGACAACTAACATGTCACCTCCTGGCCTTGTTTCCAGATGTGGTGATTGCTCTGCTTTCCTCTCATAAAGAGGAATGAGACTGGAACATGTGAAATAAGTTTTTTTTGTTTTTTTTTTTGCCATTCATCATTTTTCTTCCTAAAAAAAATTACTGAGAAACAAGAACATGGCAAATGGACATTCTTACCCTTTTTATGAACTCCTCCCCCCCCCCCCCCCCCCCAGCTAACCTAGACATTGACTTTTCCCCCCAATATGAATTTTAGAGGAGATTGCATTTGGGATGTGGACAACCAGGTGCTGCCTCCTGGAAGATTTAGCGAATACCTTGCTTCTTGCCTGCTTACTTTTATAAACTAAAATCCATCGGCTGAAAAAGGCCACTCTTAACTTATAAAGCCACTTTTTAAGGTTCAAAGACTCTAAAAATAGAGCTGAAAATGATTTATGTAGGGGAGAAATGAATTGATCGTAAGTTGTAATTGAAAAAGGAAAATAAATCAGAAAGCTATTTTGTCTTCAAAGTACTTACCAAATGAGAGTGAGTTTGGGGTTTTGTTTCCTTTTAGAAACTCCTCATACCCAGATAGTCTTAAGCAGCGTCCTCTCTGGCTTTTCACATTCTTTACAGGTTCTAGCTCTCCTTTCTCATGAAACAGAGGTTTCGAATTTTGGGATGACAAGTTGGAGGTCTTAGAAGTGATGCATGTCTGTGTATCTTAAATCAAGCCATTTGTTTCCAGAAAAATTCCGCCTCCATCTCTAGGCCACAGTCTCTCCCTTCCAGGCGGTGTTAGTTAAAGCCCTCTGCCTTTGTCTCAGTGGCTATTGGCCATACCGCTGTCTGCTCTTATTTCTTCTGGAACTTGAAAATTGGGGTAATATCAGTGCTCCTGGACTCTGGTAGCCTTGGGAAATGAGGTGTTGGAGGAAATCTTTCAACTAATTATTTTACAAGTAAATTTATATTTGCTTTCTGCTTGAAGAATTATTTTTAATTTCAAATGTAGTAGGAACAAGAGAAGTATACCCAGAATCTGTGGGAAAGTATCGCTACTTCTTACCATGGTTATAAGCTCGTGGAAGGACAGAGTTAAGGGCTTTACCATGAGGTGAGTTGTGGTAAGTATTTCAGGAGAATTTATTGGATTGTCCCTAAAGCTGGATAATCTTCTCCACTAAATAATCTCGGCACATGAAGGAAAAGCTTTGAAACCACAGCACAGTATTTGATGGCGGAAATGTTTAATGAGGAAACAGTGCAAGGGATGGACATTCTTGCTGCTATACTGTTCCGTTATGATATCTTACTTTCCAAGCAAAATTGTCAGGTGGCCCCCTTTCCTTAGTTAACTGCAAAGTAGTGGTTTTGCACAGCCTTCTTAAAGTACAGAGGACTTGGCCCGCATTTCTTGCTAATATGAGAGAAAAAGGAGCCACTGCTATCATTGCTTCCATAACCTGTCCTTCCACAGCCGTGATCCTTTCTTCTTGCCAGAGGAGGGGCTGATCTGTGTGATTCTGACATTAAAAACTCACAGACCCCCTACATGTCCCCACGCAAAACGTTTCCCTCAGAGTAACTGTGATCTTTCAGAAGACCTGTTGGACGACTAGATTCCTAACACAGACTGATGGAGATTACTATCCTAATTCAGACAAGAGCAAGAGTGCCATTCTGGGCACTTCCCTCAGAGGAGTTTATTTTTCAGTGATTTGTACATTCTTCATGCATGCCAGATCCTCAGGAATAACCATTAGCCACTAAATAATTGATTTACACAGTGTAGACAGTTCCTGCTAAGAAGGAGATTTCACTAACCAGGGTGGTAAGTGCATAAGAGATTACTATGGATCCGCAGCTGTGAGCTAGTGGAAAATTGGAGTGGGCTGAGGTTAAGTTGCCACATGGCTCATGTTCCTGGAGCGCCCCATCTTCAAGCCTTGCAGGCTGGTAGCTACACCCGGTATCTGAGAAAGGCGCTGGCAGATAGCGGTCCTGCGAAGACCCTGGGGCATCTGCCTGACACTTGTGGAGGCTGGATGTGTGTGGACTGGAATCCTGAGAAACACTGTGTAAGAAGAGCTAAGTCCGCAAGGCTTCCTGGTAAATGTATGCCAGTTTTCTTTTTCCTTCCTTTCTTTCCTTTCCTTCCTTCCTTTTCTCCCTCCCTCCCTTCTTCTCTCCTTCCTTCCTTCCTCCCTCCCTTCCTTCCTTCCTTCCTTCCTTCCTTCCTTCCTTCCTTCCTTCCTTCCTCCCTTCCTTCTTTTTTCCTCCCTCCCTCCCTCCCTCCCTCCCTCCCTCCCTCCCTCCCTCCCTCCCTCCCTCTCTCCCTTCCTCCCTCCCTTTCTCTCTCCCTCCCTTTCTCTCTCCCTTCTCTCCTTCCTCCCTCCCTCCCTTCTTCTCTCCTTCCTTCCTTCCTCCTCCCTCCCTCCCTCCCTCCCTCCCTCCCTCCCTCCCTCCCTCCCTCCCTCCCTCCCTCCCTCCCTCCCTCCCTCCTCCCTCCCTCCCTCCCTCCCTCCTTCCTTCCTTCCTTCCTTCCTTCCTTCCTTCCTTCCTTCCTTCCTTCCTCCTTCCTTCCTTCCTTCCTTTCTTTCTTTCTTTCTGTCTTTCCTTCCTTCCTTCCTATTTTTGAAGGGAATTTGAATAATCAGAAACATAAATTAGAAAAATAAAAATGTCACCCTAGCCATTGGTAGATACTACATTTTCCTGAAACTGGCTTTATTCATATACCACATTCATTTGTCTCTTCTTGGCCCAGAATCTCTTGTCTGAAACAAGTTATTTCCACTTTTCTTTTCATTCATTGTTGTTGTTGTTTTTTTTGTTTTTTTTGTTTTTTGTTTTTTTTTTTTTACAAATAATGTCTGTTTCAGTCTTATTTCTTCTCATGTTAAGCCTCTTGCCCCTCTCTTTCCCCTTTTAACAGTCCATGGGCCTCCCTCTGCAGCCCCTCTGCCTCTGGCCATCCTCTTTCACGTGCTCTCCAGGTCACACCCTCTTTCCTTGCCCAATGTGACCTCCTTCACTGCCCTGAAAACACGTTGCTTAAACATCCAGAAGTTCCCTATGAGTGAGCAGTGAGCTACGTGGACATTAATTTCAGATTTTAAAAATCCTTTCCACCAAACAGCATACAACTGTGAAAGGTTTGGTGCTTTGAATAAATCTTTACATCTTAAGCACTGAGCTGGTTACAGATTTCCCTTTATCAGACTCTTCAATATGAAAACTATAGATTCAATCTGAAAACATCCCAGTAAAACCAAAGATTAAACAATAAAGTTATTCTTAGCAGAACAGAGGACACTGAAATAAGTACTTGGGGAAAATCACTCTGACTAGCTTTTTTGCAGAGGAACATGTGAATTATGTCTGCTACATGGCTTTAACAGCCAGAGATTTGGAAAGATGATTAAATGACACCATCCTAAAATTTTATACCAGGAAAATCTATTCCTAGAAATGTCAAGGAATATTTTACTTCTGTGAAAGGCTTGAAACATAAAGTAACATTTACGATATATACACCTATGAGCCTTTACAGAAATCTTAATTGAAATTAGGTTTCAAGGTCAAATTAATTTGTATCTGAATATATTTGATGATCTGAGTATATGACTGTTATGAGTCCCCTATACCTCCAGCTTAGTGTTTTGAATATGAAATATGGGACTCTTTTTAAGCAGAAACCTGGCATTTGATCTATAATAGTTCCTGCTATCACTGAATACATTTGCATGGCAAATCCAAACTTTGCCCTAGCTGCCCCCAAATTTCAAATGGTTTTTCTGATATATATTTATAATTAATAGAGTAAAAGGAGACTCTTAAATATTGGCTTAGTGACTAGAATTCCAATGTTCCTTCTTAGTATTAGAATGGAAACATGGCGATATACTTTGTTTTCAAAGTGGTTAACTTCAAGGCCAGGATGCTGAAATCCATTGTCCCTGTCTGTGACTTATGAGGATTCTTGGAGAATTGGAGGAGAGGTACCAGAATCCTGGAAACAGTAGATTGCTCCATGATGCTTTAAAGTGGAGAACATAGAATGAGAACCAGTAATTAATTACTGGAATAACTGAGTGACTCCTGAAAAATTGTCAAATATACTCTGTGAGAATTTGGAAGCTAACACCAAACTATTAGAACATGTTATTATGAACTGATGACACAGATTTTTCCTAATGTTTATAAAAATGTAAATTTATTTTGTATTTTGTATCAGTAACCATGGAAAGCCTGGATTTTGGTCCATGCATCAGTGCCTCATGGCACCATTATTTATGTGGTAACTGCTATTGGCATTGTTCATAGGGTGCCAGCAGGATATGGTAACAGTCTGTAAGATTTGTTGTACGAATTCAAACCTCGGAGTGACCAGGTTCATAGTAGTATTCAGTTTTCTATTTTAATTTGTAAAGTTTAAGATAACAATGTTCGTACAAGTTGAAGAACTCTAAATTAGAAAAAAAAAAATAGAAAATAATATTTCACTGAGTTGGCTTTGGGTGGTATGGTAACATGGTTAAAAGCAAGTTCTTTATAACCATACAAATTGAATTCTAGTCTTAAATGCTTTACTTACTAGCTGGGAATCTTTGGAAAATTACATAACTTTGATGTGCCTCAGTTTCTTAATCTACAAAATGGGAATGACAGCATTACCAACTTCACAGCTGCTGTGAAGCACATAAAAATCTATAAAATATTATAACTATCATC